GTGAGGGTGAGGGTGAGGGTGAGGGTGAGGGTGAGGGTGAGGGCGAGGGTGAGGGTGAGGGTGAGGGTGAGGGTGAGGGTGAGGGTGAGGGTGAGGGTGAGGGTGAGGGTGAGGGTGAGGGTGAGGGTGAGGGTGAGGGTGAGGGTGAGGGCGAGGGCGAGGGCGAGGGTGAGGGTGAGGGTGAGGGTGAGGGTGAGGGTGAGGGTGAGGGTGAGGGTGAGGGTGAGGGTGAGGGTGAGGGTGAGGGTGAGGGTGAGGGTTAGGCTTTCCTTGGAGGTGAGGGAGTACTCGAGCGTGCAGCCGAGCAAATTGGAGACGCGCAGCGGCGGGGCAATCACGACCACCAGCCGCGCGGGCGCCTCGCGCAATGCGCGGTAGGTCCCGTCGAGCAGCACCTGTTCACGGCTGCAGGTGTGAACAGCGCCTCTTCACAGCGGCAAGTCCCGTCGAGCAGCACCTGTTCACGGCTGCAGGTGTGAACAGCGCCTCTTCACAGCGGCAAGTCCCGTCGAGCAGCACCTGTTCACGGCTGCAGGTGTGAAGAGGCGCCGTCCGCAGCTCGCGCGGAGGAGAGGCGCCGAGCCGCGGCCTCGTCCTCGGCGGCGGCGCTCTCCTGTTCACAGCGGCGGTGCGTGTGAAGAGGGTCGCGTCACACGGCGGCGCCTCCCCCCCCCCCCCCCCCTCGGGGCGGTGCGGGCGGCGCGCTCCTTCTTGGCGTCCGTCTCGACAGACAGGACCAGGTGGTACTTCGCCGCCCCGACGGGCGCGAGGCCAGAGGCCAGCAGCGGCTCCCGCGCCCCGCCCACGCCGCCCCCCGTACCGCCGAGCGAGAGCGAGCCGGGCGCGCGGCCGCCGCGGCGGGGCGTCTGCTGGCCGACCGGGTCGGGGCCGATCGGCGGGCAGGTGACGAGGCCGCCCGAGTCGTCCCACAGCGCCTCGACCGCCACGGCCGGCGACCAGCCCGCGCCGCGCTGGTTGAGCCGGACTGCAAAGTGCTCCAGGTGCGCCAGCTGCAGCGGCACGGGCCTGGCGAGGGGTCGGAGCTGGGGTCACGATCCGTCCCCTCCCGAGTGCGCGAGCCGCAGCGGCGCGCGCCGCGACGACTCCGGCGCCAGCGTCATGTCGGTCTGCCAGAGCTTGTTGCGCGGCGCCTGATGAAGCGGGGGGGGTGGAGATTGAGAACCGGGCCTCATGCCGGTCTGCCGGAGCTCGGCTGCGCGGCACCTCCGCCGAGATATGGGGAGATATGGGGAGATATGGGGAGATATGGGGAGATATGGGGAGATATGGGGAGATATGGGGAGATATGGGGAGATATGGGGAGAGCTTGGCTGCGCGGCACCTCCGCCGAATATGGGGAGATATGGGGAGATATGGGGAGATATGGGGAGATATGGGGAGATATGGGGAGATGTGGGGAGATGTGGGGAGATATGGGGAGAGCTTGGCTGCGCGGCACCTCCGCCGAATATGGGGAGATATGGGGAGATATGGGGAGATATGGGGAGATATGGGGAGATGTGGGGAGACATGGGGAGAGCTTGGCTGCGCGGCACCTCCGCCGAGATATGGGGAGATATGGGGAGATATGGGGAGATATGGGGAGATATGGGGAGATATGGGGAGACATGGGGAGAGCTTGGCTGCGCGGCACCTCCGCCGAGTCGACGCGGCGCGTGTCCGGGTCGACGTCGAGCCAGCGCATCACCTGGTGGGCCGAGCCGGGTCCCGCTCTGAGCTGAGCCCCGCGTGTCAAGGTCGCACGTCCCGCCAGCGGCTCACACAAAAACACAACCCCGGCCAAGACGCACACGCTCAGACAGTCGAGACAGGGAGAGACAGCAACGACAGTCAGAAGGCAGCACCGGGTCCCAGGAAGGCGAATGCGATGACGGCCTCTGGTGCGAGCTCTAGCTATAGTGAGCTCATCGCTACTATACGCCTCACCAGCGGGAGGCGCGTCTCGTTGCGCACGTGCAGCAGCGAGTCGAGGACCAGCTTGTTTGCGCCGCCCTTGTGCATCACAACCTCGCACAAGAGGCGCGCCTTGTGGAAGCAATCTCGCGTCATCTCGGGTAATCTCGGGCAATCTCATCACAACCTCGCACGAGAGGCGCGCCTTGTGGAACGGGTCCCCCGGCAGCGGCGCGCGCACCTCCTGCACAGCACGGAGTACGTGAGAGTACCCGAGAGTACCCGAGAGTACCCGAGAGTACCCGAGAGTACCCGAGAGGACCCGAGATTCCCCGAGAGTACCCGAGAGTACGATATCACCGGAGATCACCCGAGAGGACCCGAGATTACCCGAGAGGACCCGAGAGCACCCGAGAGGACCCGAGAGGACCCGAGAGGACCCGAGAGTACGAGATCACCGGAGATCACCCGAGAGGACCCGAGAGTACGAGATCACCGGAGATCACCCGAGAGTACCCAAAACACTCTCCTGCACAGCGCGGCCGACGTGGTCGAAGCGCACGCCCTGCAGCTCGCCGCGCCAAAGCTCAGAGAGGAGCGACAGCGTGCGCGGCACGACCAGCGGCGCCGCCTCGCCCCCCCCCTCGATCCAT